GTGCACACAAAGTAAGCTGTGCAGCAGGAGTGTGTCTGGCACACACATGTAGAGCTGGATAACCAGCCCCCTCTTCAAACTCTGGACCAACTGTTGGCAGTCACACAACACAATTTCTTATACATTTTAAACTTAATACTTATATTTGATAAAAAGTGAATTTTGAACAAGTGTAAAATATGATTTCAAGTGAATGGGCTGAGCTGACAAACCGACAGTTGCTCTAATACACCAACCCTTCGGACAAAGTCTTGAAAGTTTGGAACATGTTTAATTTGAAACGCTTTTTTACGCTTGAACTTGAATATAATTCTTCAAAAATGCTTCATTTTCAACATAATCTGGTGTTTCATCTACACAACCACGCATGTAAACCAAAAAACATTTTAGTATTTGACATGAATATTTGTTTGTTACACACTGGACTCAGAGCGGACCCCCTTCACCCGACAGGAGAAAGTAAAAGAACTGAACGAGTTGCCACGAGCAATAAAGTTTTATTGAACAAGTGTTGCAACTGTCGCTGATTTGCATCGCCGCCGGTATAAATAGTTTTGATGCAAAGTATTTGCAGGCGAGCATTTCACATTTTCACGTATTGTTTTTTTCCTCACGCTGCTGGTTGGTAAAGGCCTTTTACTCTGGAGATATGCAAGCGTTGAATAATCATAATCAAAACATCAAAGTTAATGTGAACAGCTGATAAAATAGACAGTGTCAATCCTCATTGATTGATGTGGGTATAATTGAATTCTGGGAACTTTATTTTTCACAATTGCATTATTTGTTACAATTTAGATGTGAGGATAAAGGCTTCGAGAGTCTTGACATTTTTGGATTCGGTACCTTTAAAGTGCTTGGATTTGACTCTTAAAAGGCTGTACGAACCTTCCTTCATTCAGCGCCTTTAGAAGTGATTTGTAATGTAAGGTACCTCCCACAGAATTCCATCATGGGTACACATTTGAACTGCCAATCATTTTTTTACTTAAAGTGAATTGCCCTTCATAGGAACGCAACATTCAACAGAGGTCTGTTGTTCAGTACGGGTCCTCTTGAGAAGCCTGTCTAATGTGGTGCAGTTATGGGTCAGATGGGTCACTCTGCACCGCGGTCTGGAGCTGGATTAGCATCGTGCATCCCCTGCTCCACAAAGACTAGCTGCAGATCAGTTTGGCTAACATGAGGGACAAGCCCTTGGAGTCGTCTCGCATTGAAACACAGCAGTGTAAATCTGTAGCCTGTCGCTAACTGAACAGGTCTATTTAAAAAAAAAAAAAAAAAAAAAAGCCCTCTCTGCTCACCCATCTCTCCCCACGCTAGAGACTCTGGGAAAAGGGTTTTTTAGTGAAATCCAACCACCTGCCTACTGCTAAATGAGAAAGCGTGGGCTAGCCGTGAGGGAGAGGAGAGGAGGAAAGGAGGGGGGGGGGGGGGGAGTGTTGTCAAAGAGCCTCTGTTCTCCCCTAGGAGCCCAGTCAGCTGTAGGCCTGCCCTATTGTAGAAAGCCCGATGGTATCGCTTGCCAGGTATTGCCCACTGCCTTTCCAGTGAGAGGAAGGGAGCGTTATTGGGCTCGTGGATGACGATAGAGGAAGGAAGGGAAGTTGGGGAAGAATCAAAGTGTCCGTGTGCCTGCAGGCCTTGACCCAGCAGGAAGTGGCCCAAGGCTGACTTGGTCATCAGCTGGTCCTCCTTGCAGAGAGCGGTCTGTGCTGGATCAGTAATGACACCAGTTCCCCCTCTTTCTCCTGAGCTCTCTGTCTCTCTTGGCCCTCTAGTTCCCTCACACCCCTGTGGTTCCATTATTGCATTCCTTGTGCTATTTAATTTTAGGATCAGTACACTCTGGGGGGGGGGGGGGAGCTTTGCTAAAGCTGTGCACTACTCTGCTGTGTGTGTGTGTGTGTGTGTGTGTGTGTGTGTGTGTGTGTGTGTACGTTTGCGCATGTGTGCTCGTTCCCTGTATGAGCCCAGCACCCCTTTTAACAATGCAGGTGCGTCCTGCCTCATGGCTAACACTTACCACCTGCTAGCACGGCTTAGACAAATGCTCTTCTTGATTTAATAAGCCTGTTTGTGTCCCAAAATGTGCTCATAGTCTTACTGTGTTTAGCTGATCTCATTCCACAGCCCCCCCCCACCCCCACCCAATCACTGTTTACAAAACATTGGCATATATGACTGTGTTAAGACTTTTCCATTGTTGGCGGCTCGTAAAAGAAAGCCAAGCTGTTTTTTATCTAAGGACTCCCCCCCCCACCCCCCCTCTGCTGAAATGCTGCAGCAAATGAAATAGCATCTTATTTGCTTGATACAGAGAGAGAGGGAAGGACACGGCTCTTTTGCTGAGGCTAGGTGTGTTTTAGATTAGACATGCTTGGAAGCCATTAGAGAATGGCTGGCTGAACAATGAGCTACAGCTGAGTAAATTGCTGTGCGTGTGTATATATGTGAGTGTGTGTGTGTGTGTGTGTGTGTGTGTGTGTGTGTGTGTGTGTGTGTGTGTGTGTGTGTCTCTGTCTCACGAGGTTGTAACAATGAATATTATGTCGCTTAAACTCGGCAGTGACGATGTAATTGAAGAAACGGTTTCAGCGCAGTGCTCTGTGCTCAGTATCTTCACGATGACGTCCCCTGTGTGTCAAAAGCATTGAACTTTCCCTCGCTCTCTGTCTTTGTGGGTGGCGCGGCAGATTGTAGGGTGGAGGCGAGTAGAAGAAGTTAAACTTAACAGCTGCAAAGGGAGCGAGAGCGCTCTACTACAAAGGCCCTGCTGTGGCTCTCCCTCCTACGGCGAAGGCCACATCCATCCAACGAGCACACACTTCAACCCTAAGAGAAGGGCCCATCCCCCCCACACAGACCCCTCCACAGCTAAACCTCTCGTCCCTCCCCTTTCCACTTCCCCACTTGAGCGAGGAGACCCACTTCCAAATGCACAAAATGGCAGGAATATTTAACAAGCCCGGCAGACCCCGGAGGAACCACGTGCCCCTCCCCCCCCACCACCACCACCCAACCTCCCTGAGCGCCGCTGCCTCCTTTTTGGTTCAAGCGGGAAGAGTCCGAAGCATTAACCGGGTTTTAACTCTCGCGTTTATTGGGAAATCGTATTATAGCCGCTCTCAAAGAAATGCCCTTGAGGTAGTCAACTTTTAGTGCCCAGGATGAATTCAAAATGTGCTTTTGACGTTCGGAGAATAGACTCGCTCGCTGTCTGCGAATGATTAAACTAGATCCCTGTCTCTCTCTCTCTTTTTTTTTTTTCCCCTCCCGCCGCCTATCTTTTTCACTCCTGCTGTCTGTTCTTTACGCCTGTTGATGTGCTCTGGGGTGCAGACACGGAGATCTGGCCCCTCTAAATGAATGTGCCGACGAGGTGAAGGGACACTAAACCCTAATTCCCCCGATTTGACTCCTCTGAAACATGTCATCTCATTCAGATTAGTCTCTTTTGTTCTCGGCCCTCCCTCCCCCCACTCGCTCCCCTCCTCCTCCTCCCGCGTCTCTGTCTCTCTCTCAACACACACACTGTGTTGCTCACAGATCACACAATAGCACTGATGGATATTTTCATTCATGTTATCTTGTAAATGACTTCCAAGGATGGTGTAGAGGAGGGAGGAAAAGGAGGGAGCGGGGAGAAGAGAGAAGAGGGCAGTAGTGAGAGATATAATGCGTCACTCAGAGCCAGCGAGGGCGATAACCCCCCCCTCTCTTAGAACAGCTCATTCAGCCCACAGCAGATAACAAGCCCACCCTGGGGTTACACACACACATGCACAGAGCCTCTTAAAAAAACAAAGCCCATGATGTCACAGTCGCACTCGTACACACCAGCCCCTCTACAAATGGTGTCTTGGGTGTCGGAGCCATTTAATATCTTTGCCACCCCTCTTTTGCTCTGTAAGCGGTAAGATAAACCACAGCCAGATCGATAACTCTGTTGACACAAACAAATAAATAACAGACGACGGTGCCATCAGTCACTGGAGAGAAAAAAGCTAGCCGCTCATCTTTTGTTTGGGAAAGTGTGGCGTAGTCCTTCTGCTCAGCGTTAGTTTTTGATGAAATGATCGCCAGCAGTGCGCTTTGTTAGTGCACGTCTTACCTTTTTTTGACTCGGAGCTTACATGCTGTCTTCATTGCCCGCGTGTTGGTGCGAGCGTGAGCGCTACGCTCCGTTGCACCAAATGGCAGGCAAAGCCAGCCTCGGGAGCAGTCAACATAGCTTGTTGCATTGCTTCCATTTGAACAGAAGGTCAATCTTTACGTGTGTGGTGTGTTTTTCCAATCAATTAAGTGTCTGTGGCTTTTGATTGCTTTGCCCCGTTGAGCAAGCAGGAGCTGTCTTTTACTGGTTGTTATTTAAACCAAAATAAATACATATATTTTTCCTCCGTTTGATCACACTCCTGTTTTTTTTTTTTTTTGTGTTGCAGCTAAAAGCAAAAGCGCAAGGTGAATGGGAGACTATTATGCTAATTTGCCTTTTGTGGATTCAAATCTCTTTTTTTCCCTCTAATAATTCTAACCCTTGGCTGTTTTTCTGGAAGGTACTGTGCCAGGCTTAGCCGTAACCATTTGCCGTGTCCCCCGCCTCCTCCTCCCTTTCTTCCCCACAGAAGTGGCTGTGTGTTTTTGTCCTCTGCAGCGTGAATGTTTTTGTTAAGGAGATGAGGGTTCGCGACCCGGCCATACCACCAGTCGCATTCAATTTAACAGCACAACCGGGCCAGGGCCACCTCCTCACACACACACAATGTGAGGGGGCTGCGTTTAACACTCGAGGGTTATGTCATTTGGCAACATTTTTAAAACATGAGAGGACAGAAGGTGAATTTTTTTGGGTGGGATTTCACCGCTATGCTAACACAAAGCTAACTTGGCATATATCAGTGCAGTGACAGAAGTTGTCATTTACAGTGCTGACTCGTGGAATGAGGTTAAAGTCAGTATTACTCACTGGTGTATAAATGGAGTGGAACAATAACATAATTCCCCTTGGGCGTAATGTTTGCTTTGGAAAGGCAACCGTGTAGCGCTCCAAAAGTCCTTAATCCTATTACTCGCATTCCAATTGAATTTGACTCGAGGAGAAAAATGTCTTTTCAGCAGAGGTAACAGCACCCAAAATAATATATTACCGAGTCTGTCTGCATAGAACATGAACGCTTTGGGGAGATCTTCTGTCAAGCTCACTTTTCTTTTGTTTCTTTTCTCTCACTTGCAGATTGTGTGTACATTGAAAGTCGGCGGCCCAACACTCCCTACTTCATTTGTAGCATTCAGGATTTCAAGCTGGTGAGTACATTTTCACTTCCTGTCTGTGCTGTTTTAGCCCCTCGTGTCCTCACACTGAGGGCCTGAGGGTCACCGCTGATTCGCCCACCCACCCCGTGTGGCAGGGCGTACAGGTGGAGGGTTGCACATTTGTGGTGCACTGTGGTAGTCTGATGAGGACGGACTACAAATCATAGTGAAATAAAATCAGTTTGTTTCAGGAAGTTTGTTTTTAAAGTGTGATGTGGAAAAGAGAATCCGGCTTGAATATTAACCACCTTTGTGATCCACTGGCAGTTAATGCTTGTGATGGAAATAAAGATGTTTGTCGATGCACTTAATTGATTTAATGAAGGAGACCATCACCAGTTTTGAATTGATTTTTTTTTTTACAGCCTAATATGGCCAAATTGCCCATTTTGCTGAATAAAGAAAGAAATGAGTTTTTAATTTGCCACAGTCAGTTTAGTGAAGTGGCGCTTGTTTTCTCCGCAATAGGACACCTAAAATGTATCGCGCACACACACAGACAAATTGATATTCACACACTGCATTCTCTATGTCTGCTAAAGTGGGGGAGGGAATTATATTGAGTTCACCGTTCAACCGACAGATCTGTCTTTATTCATGTTGAGGAGAAAGAAATGCAGTTAGATCATTTTCTACACCGTCGTCCTCGAATGACACACTGCACAGCTTACAGCTACCTGCAAGCCATTCCAATTACCTTCTTTTTAAATCAATATATGATCTTGAAGTGCTGTATTAGAGGTCATTGCTAACAAACAAGTGTTTCTTTAGACTCCGGAAATTTGTCGGTCACAAAGTTCCCCAAATGCGAACCTACCGCCTGAAGTCGCTTGTTTTTAATTGGTCCTTTGTCCGGTTTTCATCTGCCACATACGGAGCGCGGAACACGTTTTGGCCGCATCTTTGCAGTGATGTGCATTTAATGTAGCAAAGGCTGCTGGAATATGTAAGTGATGGGTCTGTGTTGCCAAATGAAGCGGCACCTGACCCTGCCGGAGCGAGCATCGCCCGTCTCTTAACAGATCGGTTGTCTGAGCAGAGTGCAGAAGGCTCGGTGAGGGGCGGCCGGGCCCCAGTGGGCCAAAGTAATGGCTGCCAACAGCTAGGGTGATGATGTGAGGTCAGCTCAGAGGCCACCCACAACACTTCTGGAGAAGGTGGACTAGTGTGTGTATGTATATATGTGCGTGTGTGTGTGTGTGTTGGCACTTAAGTTTCATGTGTGAATACTTTTGTGCGTGAAGGGCAGTTGTTGTGTGAAGAAGGGTTTTTTTAAAGTGAGCTGGAGGCCTCGCAGAGGGGAGGAGAGCCAGACCCCACAGCAGCAGGGATGTAATCAGATTGCTGCTATAGAGAGTGCTGAGGACGGCAGGAACCCCTTCGTCATGCACGCGCACACACACACACACACACACACACACACACACACACACCTGCACCTTGATTAAGAGTGCCAGAAGAGGTCTGGGGCAGAGATTGTCCAGGGAGGGGGAGAGAATAGTGGCTCCATTAGCTGACCCCTCTCTCTCTCTCTTCACTCTTTCGCTCTCTCTGTGTCTCCCGCTCTCTCTCACTCCCCCCTTCCCCCCCATCCATCTGTAATTAATGAAGAGCCATCTGCATGCCTGTATGTGTTTGAGCAGACTGTACCCTTGTCCTCCTATGTTAGAACAACAAGCCCTGCTGGCTCTCTAAAGAAGTACAGCATTTTTCAACAAGCTCACTTTGTCGCTGAACTACAAATCACAAAAGATTGGCGCTGTGTTAGCGATGGTCTCTATTCACTAGACCAGCACTAAATCCTCTTTGAGGATGATAGCTGATTCAGGCTACAATTGCACACGTTGGTGTAAAGTACCATCTACCCTGCTCTCAATACTAGGGCACAGACTTTTCTGCTCTTTAGTCGGACATGATTGTCAGCATAATCTCATTTCCTTCTCTTGCCACAATATATCGAAAAGGAGAAACGACAAGCGACTCGAGGTCCATGGAAGTGCGCCACGCATCAGACGTCAACTTGTTCTCTTTATTTCCTATCCTGTCATCCCTGCTTGCCTCTGTCTCCGACCCCCACTCTTCCCTGCCGTAAGAATTATCGATCCTCCCCCTCTCTCTCTCTGTGTGGGGGAGCAGGGCTCTGGAGGCGCAGCAGAGGGGGAGGAAATTACATTGGTCCCGAACCAAACAACCTCATCAATATTGCCCGTCTCGCACCCTTCTTCTTTTTTCCTCTCTCTGTCTCTCTCTCTCTCTGTGTCTCCTCCCTCAGTTTTTAGGTTGTATCAGTCTCACTCGTGTACTTTATCTAATGACCTGTGAATCCAATTAGCGGTGTATAGAAATCCTGAATGCAGCTATCAATCTTTCCTGCCTCTCCGTGTCTCTATATCTTTTTGTCCTCTCACTGTGATTCTGTGAGCGGACATGCTGCATGTATGTATGTGTGTTTTTCTTTAATGCTTCTGTACACACGGCGCAGTCATTCATTAATAAGACATGCAAAAAAGAAATTCCATTCTGCAGCATTATTGGGGTCGTTTTGAACATTTAGTTTCCCCAGTTTGTTTACTCAACAATGCTGCCCACTGTGACCTCTGTGACATATTGATCCAGTCATGTGGATTTCAGCCTCCGCCCTTCCCCCTAAAATGTCTGCCTAGAAACAGAGGTGGCCAGTAGGAGGCCATTTTAACTGTTAACGGTATTAAACAAAATCAGGGGTGGAAGCAAAACATCGGAATGCAGCCAGTTAATTATCTTTCATGCCCATGTTTAAATATTAACATGTAACAACAATAATTACAATTATTTACAAAACCTACAAGACGAGATCCGTATTTGAAGCATTAAAACGGTGGCACTACAAGTGAAATACTGCTTATGACAGAACCATTCAACGTTAACGGTAAATTTAAGTGAATAAGGGACTAGAATTGCAGCTATTGCTCCAAATGCACACAGTACTAGTCAGCAAAATGTGTCTTTTCTTCCTTCTGATCCAATCAATTAGGTCAATTACGGGCCAACAATCCTCTGGTGTGTTTTCCCACAAGGGCTAGTTTCAGTTTACACCCGGTGCCATGACCTTGTAATTTGTTTACAATCTATATTTGATGAGAGTAATGCAGTCAGTCTGCTGACCGCTCCGTCTGTGTGTGTGTGTGTGTGTGTGTGTGTGTGTGTGTGTGTGTGTTTATGTTTACATGCAACTTATGTGATGAACATGCATATATATCTGCATCATCACTCCACACACACTCTACGTGTTGTTTTGAGAGGAGAACCAATAAGGGACTGAGCTGTGGACAATCTGCAGCCATTGAGCCCGGCCTCCCCGATCCATCCTGCTGTTCTTACCTAGATTGTCTCCTCCGTCTTCATTTCTCTCACTCCCGTCTGTCTGCTTCTACACTTCATCCCCCCCTCATCCCCACTCCTCTTTATCAGCTGTCACTCACCCCCTCCCCCCCTCCCTCCCTCCCTCGCTCCTCCCATCCCTTCACCCACCTCCCCCTCCCTCCCCCCCCCCCCCCCCCCCCCCCCCCTCCCCTCTGCTTGTATCTAACCTCATTTGCTGTTATTGGCCAAGTCAGCTGTGTTCCGTCCTCCCTCCCTCCCTTCCCCACATCCCTCTCCCTTACTCCCTCTGCTTTTTCCCAGAGTCCCCATCTCTCTCCCTCTTTCGCTAATGGAGTGATTGCAGCGTTTCTCCCTCTGGGAACGCAGGATTGAGGAGCCCAGTACGCCAACATACCCACCCACACACACCCAGTCTCTCTGCCACACACACACACACACACACACACATCTCTGGATCTCCCTGCTTATGGACATTTAATTAGATGCCATGTACAATGCAATTATCGTGCCAGGAGTCCAGCTCATATGTTGCAGGCCTGATCAGCTTAAAAGGATGAGGGATTTTCTTTGTCATATAATCAGTATACTGTGTGTGTGTGCTTGTGCTTGTGTGCTGTATTCAGTGATTATCATGTTGTGTCCCTCATATTGGCATCAGTTTAAAATCACAGTGTAAGGTCATAAACATCTCCAGGTTTAGTGCTCTGTTTGCACTCTGAGATGTGTGCACTTGAAAACACGCTCTGATGGAGTGTGTTTGTTTGGGCTTCCAGCACTCTCTATAACCTTTACTCATATTAACTCTCTTAACTGGGAACTTTCAAATTTAAGCAAAAATAATAAATAATCTTACAAAAAAAGTGTCAGCTGCAATTATTTGTTAAGAAATGAAGTTCGGCTGCAATTGAGATTTGTTACATGCATCCCAGATGCTCATCCAGCCGCGTACACTGAGCTGCATTTAGGAACTATTTGACACAATCTCCTTCTGACGGGTGGACTTCTCTGGTGTTGTTGTGAAAAGATGTCACTTCGTTTGTGTTTTAAAATTTGTTGAACCGCTTAATGGGGAAATCCAAAACACTTAATTAGCAGATAGTTTGGAAATTAAATGATTAAAACCAGTTTTCTACATTTTTACTTTGCACTGCAACGTGGCACAATTATTTTTAGGACTATACTATTATTTGCAGTTATGTTTTAATGATGCTTAATTCATCTATTTGTATTTATTTAAATACAATCCAGACTTAAAACAACGGTGCAAGATTAAAATCTCCTACAGTTCATGTTATATTATAAACATACATGTTTAACTTGATGTGATCACCTTCAAATATCACAATAATAAGATCTAATAAAAAGTAATTTATTACTTATGAACATGTAGTTCTCAATGTGTAACCAGATCATGTTCACTGTCCATGTGTAGTTACATGTGTATTATAATGCGTGCTTGTGTTGGATGGATTTAACAGCATAGATTTCCCTGTAGTCATGTAAACACACACACGCACACACACACACACCAAATGTTAATTGTATCCCAGACAACTGCATCTTGATGCCTTTAGCTGGTGCTTATCACACGACCCTTTTAAAATGCCTCTTATTGAAAGCCCATAATTAAAAATGTTTGATAAAGATGCAAATATATGTGCATAAATATGGCTGCTCAACATGAGCAGTTATTAGGTTTTCTGTGGACCCTGAGTACAGTCCTAATGGAATCCAAAGTGCTGAGAATTAGCTTAACAATGAGATCCACTAGCTAATTAGCTTGCGGCTAGCTTGTCTGCGCTCATTCAGAATCCATGCAAAACATGTCACTTGATGTACAATGTGGCATTGGTAAGTGGAGGTCCCTGGCATCCTTCTGATCCTCCCTCAGATTTCTGTAAAGCTGCAGTCACAATGTGCGCGGTGATGCATGCCGCGGGGAGTCAATGAAAGGAGGAACGTCAGCTTGTAACGCACAACCGCTGCGTTTCTTCCACCAAAACGTCTGATTGGCGCCGAGCCGTCGAGATGATTGCAGAAGGTTGACTAGACGGGCATCACTTGTCGCTCGTCACTGCCTAGAAGGCTGAGTTCCCTCTTTTTATCTCCCCCGTTTCTCCCTTCACGGCCACCCACCCCCCACCCCCCCATTGAACATTTTGAAATGCAATTATGGATCAGTGAGCACCGCCATCAGTCGCACTTCTTGTTAATATTTATCGAGTAGAGCAGCAGCCGCTGCCATCTCTTGAGAGAGGGGCGCTACCCTCATTAGGGGCAATTTTGTGTGTGTGTGTGTGTGTGTGTGCGTGTGTGTGTGTGTGTGTGTGTGTGTGTGTGTGTGTGTGTGAGAGAGAGAGAGAGAGAGAGAGTGAGATCCTCAGCTCTTCCTTTCATTCCACGGTCCACTCAGCTGCTTTAAGCGACGTGGTACATTTCACAGACGTGAAGATGTGGAGGTGCAGCCCTTTCACTATTGTGTGTGTGTGTGGGGCTGTCTTAAGTGTCTGCTTTCTGTGAGGAGGCAGCTCTGACAAGGGCATCTATGGACATGGCCGGCCAGCCGAGCCTGCTGCAAGCTGTTTGATTGAAGCATTCTGCCTGTAATGTTCCCCATTGAGTAGCCGCCTAAAAGCAATAGAACCGCAGCATAACGGCTGCTAAACCCTGAACGGCTGTTCTTTGTCACTCACCTACAAAAGGGAAAACAGACCAGAAAATTGCTGCTGATTTCTATAACTGTGGTTCGGCTGCAGCAGGTTAACATGAGAAGCGGAGTATTTTTATTCAATGTGAACAAATCAAATCATGTTCAGATTACCTCCCATTTATTTGACAAATAGCCCCCCCCGCTCGCTCTCCTCCCCTCACAGTTGGTTGTGAGCAGACACTGAGCAAAAGATTGCTTTTTTTACTGCTGCTCTGGCAGTATCAGGTGACTTTCCCCATTATGACCGTGTTGATTAATGCTCCTCGATGAGGAGGTATGCACCCCCCCTCCTTTAGAGCCACGGCACACTTTAAATTTCATTGAGGTAGAGCTATAAATGCCATTCTTTGTGGTAACATTAGGTCTCTTAGCTGAGGTGCCGTGGGTCACTAGGTGCAGCAGCTGCTGTTTCTGTGCGAGTGTGTTTCTTAAGCGGACACAATCTGCGAGGCTGACAAGCGCGAGTCCTCCTCTGGTGTCGGTTTGCGAGCGCTGTGCTTTTCTCAAATCGGATGGATACAGGCACGCGTCTCTCAAACGGCTACACAGCTCTGTCTCTCTTTGGGGAGGCAGGTATGATTGATTGTCCACAAGAGCGCAGTGAGGAATAAATACAGCAATACAAATGCCAAGGTTGAGATAAGAACATAGTGCAGGGAGGCTGTATTCAGCTCTGCTTGTGGGTATAAAACCAAATCTCCCCTCCCCCCTGGCTCCTCGCCTCTGTTCTCCCCCGTATCCCCCTCTTTTCATCTTTTTGGACAGATAACACTTTTTTCTCTCACCCTCACTGCCCTCCCTGTGCATTAGCTAAATGCTGCTATGGAAACTATGCGCTCAGCCAATGGGATGCTCTCTTTCTCTCTGATAGAAGATGGGAGGGGAGGGAGGTAGAGACGGACTGAAATCAAAATGGGGTTCTGTGTGTGTTTTTTATGAGTGCTGATTACCTTCCCAGACGTAGAGGGTGCAGCCTGTGGATAGTGGGGGTTGGGAGGGCTGAAGGGCCGGGTTAGCTAGCAGCTGTAGCATTTTCATAAGACTCTTTAAAAGCTCAATCAATAGCCACCTCTTTGACCCACTACTGCTAAATTATTCAGCAGAGAAGCCTTTTGCCCACTCTTCCCCCCCCTTTGGACTTTCATTAGTCGAGTTTACTTTCACCAGCTTAGATGCATCTCTCTCACACACACACACACACACACACACACGGATGCATGCAGATTTGTCAAGTCATTTTTCAGTGACGGATGACATTTGGGCCTTGCATATATATCCAAGTGCTAATTTCACCCCTCGTCGCTGAGTTGTTGAAATACTCAGCGGCTCCTCGGACACTTTTCTTTTTTTATTCTGGCACATCACAAGTGAAAATGTCTCCTCTGATGTTTTCACTAACATCTGAAGCGAATTCACGGCGCTCTGGCGTAGAGCACTGCATTTTTATCTTTAAAGCAGGAGAACAAACAGGCAGAGACATCTTCATGGGCTCCGGCGTTGATGAGAAAGTGGTAAAACAAAGACGCCAAGAAAAGCAGGTATATTTGAAGCTCTAAAGAACCTCAGGACTCCCAACCTGGTTGTTGTATATGAAAATAATGACAGGGGCTTTTAAATGACCTGACCAGGTCTGCCTTTGAAATGGAAACAGGCGACTCCTCCATAGGGGGTTGCACACTAAATTAGAGGTTGAAAGGTCCTTTGAAGTATGCAAATGCTCATAGTGTCTAACAATCACTGGGGCTCGATGGTTTCCACGGTAGATACCAGAGAACTGCACATGAGGCCCTTCAGCTGTGTGTGTGTGTGTGTGTGTGTGTGTGTGTGTGTGTGTGTGTGTGT